AGTAGTCAAAATAATGCTTCAATTTTCAACTTCAATATCTTATTCGATGGGAAAGTGAATATTCCACAAAATCGATTTTAGTTTTTGGTATAACTCTAAGACAAATGAACATGACATTTTCCCTGGTCGTTTATACTTGTATTTTCTATACACGATAAAATTTTCAAAATATTTTGATTTGTTTTAATTTATTTAGGAACATTTTCAGTGTCCAATTCAATTAGTTTTTTTTTCTATGAATGTCAATAAAACTTTATTTGTTGAGTAAAAATACTTGAAAATTGAATACACTACTATATTGCTTTTACTATATTGTTACAATGACATTTATTGGAAAATATTAAAAATTCTTAGTCACAGTTTTTATTATAATCATTTAAAATTCAAATCTTGACAAAATATGGAAAAATCACAAAAATTAGCAAATTATTTTGAGTTGAGAACTCATAAAAAATTTTCTTTTGAAATCGAAGATTTGAAAATGTAATACAAGATTCCTCATACATTTTTCTACTCTTATCAAATAAAAAATTTCTACAAGCAAATTAAATTAAATTTTATGAGTGTTTGAAATTCATATTTTAACAATATTGGATATTCACTCCATTTCTCATGTAGCGGTTTTATTATTTTATTGTTATTCAAAAACGAATAACTGTAGATACATGACAATTTTACTGAATGTTTATATTTTCATTTTCTATACACCATAACATTTTGAAAATATTTTGACCCTTTTTGGGATGTTAAAGGACATTGTCAGTTTTTCAATTTTATAGTTTTTTTTTTTTTTTATAAATATCAATAAAATATTACTTGTTGGGTAAAAAAGCTTGAAAATGTAATGCAAGGCTCCTGATATATTGTTACAAAAGCAGTTGAAAAATATTAAAAATACATTGGCGCAATTTTTTTTTATAAGCATTTAAAAAGTTCGAATTTTGACAAAATTTATCATATTTAATAATTATTTTGTAGTTTAAAAATTTATTAAATATTCAACTTTTAAAACTAAGGATTGAAAATTTAAAACAATGTTCCACGTACATAGGTTATATTATATAAATTATTCTAATCACAATAATATTATCAAGTATACTTAATAATACACTAATACCACATGCTGACTGACTGTTTTCGCTCAGAATCGTTTTTCTTATACGATGATATTATATCATTGAATTCAAATTTATCACCATCCATTACACTATTACAGTGACCCACTTGTAACCTACTGTACAGCAGAGTGACATCCACTTTTTAGTTTTTTTTCTATAAATGTCAATATAATTTTATTTTTTGGGTCAAGAAAATTGAAATTGTAATACAGGGCTCCTAATATATTGTTATAATGAAAAATATAAAAATACATCTTAGTCACCATTTTTTTTTATAAGCATTTAATGTTCGAAATTTGACGAAATATGTAAGAACTACTAAAATGTGCAAGCTATATTGAGTTAGAAATTCATAAGAATTTTCTTTTTAAAACTAAGATTATTAAATTTATTACAAGATTTCTTATAAGTTTGCCTACCTTTATACAAAAAATATGTCTACCGGAAAGTCAAATAAAATTTTTATGAGTGTTTATTGAAGTTCATATTTTCATATATAAGTTCATAGATTTTATATTTACTCGATGTCACATGTAGCGATTTTCTTATTTTGTTTTAATTCAAAAGAGAATAACCTTAGAGACTTGAAATTTACATCATGTGTTTATTTTATTGGTTCTTATACTTGATAACATTTTAAAAATATTTTGACTCGTTTTGAGCTTTTTAATGACATTTTGAATTTGTTTAGTTTTTTTATCAATTAATCCCGATACAATTTTATTTGTTTGGTCAAAAGCTTGACTATTTAATATAAATCTCCCTATATATTTTTACTATAGCTGTAGTTGAAAAATATTAAAAATACAAAATTTGGAAAATTTTTTTTATAACCATTTTAAATTTTGAATTTTGACAACATTTATCAAACTAAAAATTAAAAATTGATTTTGTTGTTTAAAATGTATAAAATGTTCAATTTTTATAGACAAGGATTAAAAATTTAAAACAAGGTTCCACCTAATTATTTAAATTAATTACTTTATTCACAATAATACCTACCATCAATTATCAGTGAATCGTTTTTCGTATACAATAATATGATATCATTGAATTAAAATTTAACACCATCCATTACAGTGACCAACATGTAACCTATATATTACAAAGCAGAGCAACACCCACTTGTCCAATTTTTTGTCATCAGTATTACAAGAGTAATTATGTAAAATCATTTTTTCAATTTCTGAATGTGTATTATTATTTTAATTAAAATTACAAAAATTTAGGTTTATCATAATTAATTTAGTGTATTATTATCAAACCAAGTTTTAACTTTATCAAGACCAGTTTTTACGTTATTTTCAATATTATTTACAATCACTGCTAAGTAAAATAGCAGTGTCATCAGTAAAGAAAAATATCTCTTCACTATCAATAATTTGGTTTAATAGTCCATTTTAGTAAATAATAAACAGTAAGGGACTACTGCAGTTCCTTGAGGGACTGAATAAATAGGTTCCGGGACATTTGCGGTCGGCACATTTGCGGTCGGCACCTTTTGCGTGCCATTTGCGGTCAATTTATTTTTATCTACCTGACTATAAGATTTGGGTGCTATATATAATATTTTATATACTATATATACTTAATTTATGTTAATAGGTTTAATATTATAATACTTTTTTACTATAATCGATATAGTTATATACTTGTCAAATATATTATATTTAAACTTCCCTTCACACTTTTTTTAAGCATTTTTCTAAATCATTATCTAATTCTTTCGTCTAATTGTATGTACATTTTTTTTCTCCTTTTGCCTTCCATAGTCAAGAAGCTTCTTTCATATAAAAGTTCCGCATTTTCAGTCTATTTTTTAAGACAGCTATATAAGTTCATAAACGTTGGTCTCGGTGTATTTAATATTTTATTAAGTTTACTATTCCAACCCTCAACAATATTATTGGTTCTGTGTCTTCTTTTATGACAGTTCCACATTCCCCTTGAAATAATTGGATTTTCCAATTTTCCAACCACTGTTCAATAAAATAAGTTTATCATTATCGGGTGTATTACTCATTATAATAATCCAACCTTCACCTATGTGACTAATTGGAATATGAGCTAAAGCAGAACACAATGAACACATTCTTCGATCTGCATTATTTTTATAGGTACTTGCTAATCCAATATTTTGAATTTTTCTCCAAAGTGCTTGATTAAAATGAAAGTTGCAACCGTGTATTTTAGCACTAGGATATATTTGTGTAATTGATTGAATAGTCGAGATTTCAAAGTCTAATGGAAAAGGTTCAGGATTAAAATTTGGAATATGTGTTTTAACCATCGAAAATAAACGTTCGTAAATCATTTTTGTTTTATTCGGAAGTAATATATATATCACAGGTATTATATTTATTTCTTCGTTCGTAGACCCAATATCTATATGTATATAGTGTAAATTTGGTAAAATTGTTTAATACAACTTTTAATGCCGACGATGTTAAAAATTTTAAAAATAAAATAAAATATACGTAAACGTTATCACCTTATCGATAATGACATCATTTTTTTATAATAATTGTAATAAGGTTTTAAAAAAAATTAGGGTATGTTTTTTATGTAAGTACAGTGAATTTTGATTGACAAGTATATAATTATATCAATTAGAGTAAAAAAGTATTATAATATTATATCTATTAACTTAAATTAAGTATATAGTATATAAAATATTATATATAGCACCCAAATCTTATAGACAGGTAGATAGAAATAAATTGACCGCAAATGGCACGCAAAAGGTGCAGACCGCAAATGTCCCGACCGCATCGGTGCCGACACCGAATAAATAACAGTTTATTCATCACTAAGTGTATTGTTGACCTTTACTCTTTAATACATATAACTGAAGTACTTACTTAAATAAATTTAACGCCTCTTACGCCACAATATTCTAATTTTTTTATTAAAATATTATGATCCCCCGAATCAAATGATTTCTTAAAATCTAAAAAAAAATAAGAACTATTTTTTTTTAGTCTAATTTGTCATAGATGATTCTAGTTGAGTAATATAATGTGTAATTTGTGGATAAATTATTTCTAAATCCATATTGATTTTTATTAAACAAATTAGTTTTGTCCAAAAACTCTGTAGGTAATTTTAATACATTTTCAAGTAGTTTAGAAATAGTTGATATTAAGGTTATGGGTCCATATTTCGTACAATTATTAATATTAGAAATTTTATGAAGTGGTAGTAGGTATAATAACTGATTTTGTATAACATAATGGAAACTCTCCTGAAGTTGAACATTTGTTGAATACATTTGCTAATGGTAAGGATGTTTTAATAGATATATTTTTTAATAATTTAATAGCCCCCCCCCCTCAACCCGAACATCACCTAAGTTCAGAATGAAATGAATAGAATATTGTATTTAAAAACTGATAAAGATTGTTTACAAAGATACCACTTCACAGTTCACACTTTAAGCAGTGCTCACCTATTTTGAATTTTCACTTGATAATGACATAGATTATATAATTATTATTATATAATCCGTTATAATGACAACTAATAAGATGTCTATCTAGGAATAGGCCATAGGCATGAATAAATATTTAGTCATAGTAATAGTATCAAGGATCTAGACAGTATCTAAAAGAGTACTAGACAGTAGGCATTATAATTAGTATAGTAAATTAGTAAATACTCGTTTTAATATATGTTATCTGTAGTGAATAGCTAGTACTCCTCCTTGGTTTTTCTTAATCTATAAAAAAAAGTAGGCTGGTACCTACTATAATAAATATTATTATACATGAAGTCAATTTTTTACTATAAGATGTGTCATTAGTGGAAAAATAAGTCAAATTAACTTCAACAATAATTTCACATTATTTCAGATAATATTAAAGTATCCTAACATTCTTAATCATGGGCAGATTCAACATACCTTGGATTATAATATTTACAGTAACACCTATTATAGGTGGTTTCATTGGAAGTATTTTTGTTCGCAAAAATATCAGTGGATGGTACGAGGTAACCATAAATTAATTTTTTTTTAAATATTTTAGTTAATACTATTAATTTAGTATAATATATTTAGTACCCTATACTCTATAGTATGTATACGTATTTTTTAGACATTGAATCTACCATCCTGGAGGCCTCCAAGTTATTTATTTGCTCCGGTTTGGACTACTTTGTATTTAGGAATGGGATATGCCTCATACTTGGTTTACCGTAGTGGAGGTGGATTTTCTGGTAAGATTATGCCTTATGATAATATAAACGCTTAAGTCGTGTCATTGATAATTTTTAAACTAAAGGTGAAGCAAAAATTCCTTTGGCATTGTACGCATCACAATTGGTTTTGAATTGGGCATGGCCACCTTTATTCTTTGGGCTCCATCAGTTAAAATGGGTATACTAATTAAATTAATTAATATTCCTAGCTGTTGTATACTTTTAAATTACTCTCTAACTAAATCATTTATTTTTTAGGGTTTAGTTGAAATTTGTGTTTTGTGGATAAACATAGCTGGTTGCATCGTAACTTTTTATAAAATAAACAAAGTGGCTAGTTATTTAATGATTCCATACTTAGGTTGGGTGTCATTTGCAACAGCATTGTCATATTACGTATATAAAAATAACCCTGAAATATCAGACAAAAGTTAATGATGAATAATTGTATTTGTATTACAATAAGTTTGTATAATCTTTTTTTTATTATTTAAATGAAAATTGTCATCATAACATGCAGGTTGTATAAAATATATATTGTGTAAAAAAATCTGTTATTTATGTTTATTTTGTAATATAATTATTAAAAAGTCACAGCACTTTCAATACAACAACTACTACCTATGTAAATAAAAAGGTTTAATACTATTATAGTCAAGTGTCACTAAGGAGGGGGGGGGGTATCTTCTTATTCAAATTTGTATTTAAATGTTATTCTGTTTTTATATATACCTATTTATTGAGCTTAAAGTACAGGTTGTGTATTGTTTAAACTTTAATGTAATATATGTATATATTTATATGATTTAACTGAATTAAGGCTGTATAAACGTCTTAATTTGAGAATGAAACACTTACAAATACGATCACCGACAACATTAATGAATACAATTTTTAATACTAATTTTAAAACTTAAAAGTAGCTAGGTATGATAATATAATTACGTAATATTACTGTGAAAAAAATTAATTAGCAACCAATCTCCGATTTTTTTTTTCATGGGTGGTTGCAGGAGAATAGTCAAATAAGAAAATTATATACAAGCGTATTACATTTTGGAATGCAAAAAAAATGTAGGCAAGTACTTTATTTTTAATTAATGTTTGTAAAACATAGGTATAAGTCGTAATATGTCAGACTGTATATTATACTCCACTGTATATAGGCATGATTATTTAATATTTATACCAATTTATACATTTACCGAATACTGATTACTAGCAAGGCATTATCAGCTGTCGGCTTAATTAAAAATGCTGTTCTAATTAAAATTTTTGTAATAATTTCAAATATTATGCATAATTTATTGAACAAGATGTGGTAAAAAAGTAAAAAGTAATAATTTTAATTTCATCAAACAGCGCACAAAAGTATACTTTGAAGTTTCGGAGAACTTCTAGGAAGGATTAAAAAAAAAAAAAATGGTAAATGAGAAAGTTTGAGATAAGTAACTGCGCTTTCCCTAGTCCCTTTAAATAAACTCTAACCTTTATGTATACTATTTTTAGAATTATATTCAATACAACACTATAATATCTATTGAATCTTATCTATTGAATTTTTTTCCATCACCGTACAATATTTTCCGATGTATAGGATAAAACCTACCTCAGGGGAAAGGTTATGGATTCATAAAGATAAATAAATGCCTATCTATACCGCCACTGTATATCCATTATATACGAGACTCATTTCTTGATTGAAATAATTATTTTTACACTGTTTACCTCCAAATGAGCGCTATATAACATTATGGTTAAGGCGCTGGGCGCTCTACTTTATGTTATTTCCTAGAACAGACTTACATCGATTTAAGTCAATACTGGTAATGGTACCTACCTACGTTTCTGTGTGCCGTCATTCCGGGAATCACGTGTTTGGAGCGTTCTATATAGCTGCTGATAATATCGCAGCCATCATGCATTTGGGTTTTGATTCTCCCCACACTGCACAGCACGTATTCAATAATATCCACAATTCACATTTAACTTCGGGGGCGTGTATTATTTATCCAGCCACCACGCCAGTGCCGCGGGGGTTGTAGTTGATGGATGGGAAGGAGGAGGGGGGTGCGAATGGCTTAAAAAATATTCACCGGCACGTAGATAGATATTACGTAATAGTATAATATATATATAGAGTGTGACGTCACAAATTCGTTTCCCGCGGCATTTTCGGATGCCACGTGTCAAGATTTCGGATCGGCCTGGCTATATTATGTCGAAGAAAAGCCGCACGGGATTTGCAGCCCAGACAGAGCTGCAATATTTAAAACTATGGTGCAGTGTAACCTCTATATATAACGATTATTTTACGGAACCCTGATATGACACATTTTTGTCGAAACTCTATATTTAACGAATTAACTTTGTATTTTACGACGAATTTGCTCACCCTCCCCCCCAACTGACAGACCGCGGGGAATGATATAAAAATCTAAAAGAGCATTGTTGTGTTCCAGATAATTAAAGTGCCAAAAAGTATAGTAATTTTAAACAGCTATCTGGAATGCGTTCTAAATTAATAGTATGAGAAATATTAGAAAATTCATATGGTCATACATAGTTTATACACAAAACAGTAATACTATTATACCATCATAATAAATACAATTATGAAAAAAATTAAAAATCCATAGTCACAATTTTGTTTTATAAGCATCTAAAGTTTAAAATATATTTACAAAATACGTAAAAATGACGAAAATTTGCAAAATTATTTCGAATTAGAAATTCATAAAAAATTTTTTTTTAAATCTAAGAAATTCATAAGTTTCATCAAGATTCATCATAAGTTTGATTAGCTTTATCAAAAAAAAAAATATCTACAAGAACCTCAAATTTAATTTTTTATGAGCGTTTGAAATTCATATTTTTACGACATTTGATATTTAATCGATTTCTCATGTGAAAATTTTCTTATTTTATTGTAATTAAAAAACGAATGACTGTAGATACTTGAAAATTTCACTGAATGTTTATATTAAAATTTTCTATACACGATAACATTTTGAAAATATTTTAATTTTTTCTAGTTTTTTTTTTCTATAAATATCATTAAAATATTATTTGTTGGGTAAAAAAGCTTGAAAATTTAATGCAAAGCTATATATTGTGATATATTGTTAAAATAGCAGTTGAAGAATATTAAAAATACATTGGCACAAATTTTTTTATAACCATTTAAAGCTCGAATTTTGACAAAATTTATCAAATGTTCAACTTTTATAGCTAAGGATTGAACATTTAAAACAAGGTTCCACGTAAAAAGGTTATAGGTATATAAATTATTTATTCACAATAATATCATCAAATATACTTGGTAATATCAAAGGCTGACCGACCGTTTTTCTTAAACAATGATATTATATCATTGAATTCAAATTTAACATCATCCATGACAGTGACCCACTATTGTAACCTATTGTACAGCAGAGCGACATCCACTTACCCACCTTTTTTTAATTGAAATTACGTTAAATGCCTGAATTGCTTTAATAAGGTGGGGGGAGGTTAGGTTATATGTTTTATCAAAACCACCACTGGTCACATTCCCCCACTATATTATTAGCGGGGGCATATTAATCGCATGTAAAAAAGTTTTAAAAGTCCTAAAATTGGAAATATAAAGTAAACTGTAAATAACAATTATTAGTTACAAATTATTAACTATACTTAACGTATCTAGTTCATTTTGTTTTCGTTAAATAAAAGGGTTAACACTTACGTTAATAACGTTTACAACTTACAAGTACTCATTTATATATCTTGTTAATGTTGAGCTAAAGGGATTAGAGAAATATAATATAGTCGAAATATATCAATATGCTCACTGCTTAGTGCTTATTCGTTATCTTGTAAAAGACTGTGATCGTAAAAAAAAACAAGGGATCCATAAATAGAAATATTTACCTATTCTATTATATACCATATATAATATATAAGTGTACATGGTATAAACTATATGTATGTATACTATTATATTTTTATTTATTGTTATTTTATCTTGAAATAGTAGGTATACCTATCACTAATATTAACAAGGAAAAAATTAAACACATATTCAGTTAAATATAAAATATAAAATTATTTTAAAAACATCTATATTATAGTCTATATACTTAGTATATATTATGTCATCGAAAAAATTAGACACCGGGAAATTCACTTTTTCAAAATAACATACCCTATCATACCCCCCTAAATAGCTATAGTTATATCTAGTATATGGTACAGCTCGCAAGATGGGTCGTGATCCACCCCACCAACTCCATGCGCATAATTATAATATATTATATAATGTCATATAAACGTATAAAATATCATCGACCATGACCATGATTTTGGTATAAATGTATGTTTTTCAACTTGTGAGGAATCGGTGAGGGTTGATAATTTTGTTTTTCAATTTGATATTACGAAAAACGGGCCTATAACAAGCAAACAAACTATTAAACGTATGCACCCCCACCCTTGTATACGCCCCCGTCACATAACAATATAATACATAATACTATATTATAATAATAATTATTATTATAACAATGCATCAATGTACCTATGTTCGTATAATGACGAGATAAACTACACAATACGAGAACAATCAATAATCTCTCCTGGTTTCGTGAAGTTAAAGAGAAATTATATTAAATTTTAATTAACCATACTAAATATTAATGTTTAATACTAAATTAATAATTTTGATAACTAATTAATGAGATATTCTAATAATAACCTAATCTATTGTATATTTGTATTAAGGTTTCACAATGTAAATGCCATAGTAGGTATTGATTTTACTATATGAATGCGGCATATACGAAAAGGCTATAATATATTATTATATCATTATACGACAATAATAATTATTATGGGTGATAAAGTTGTGTGAAAAAATCTAAAATAGAATGTTCGATGCCATAAAAAATGAATATTGTATACACGTATGGAATCTAGGTAAAAAAATTGTCCAAAGAAAAAAGTACCAAAAAAATATAAAGCGTAAAGCAGTATAGTAGAAAGAATGTAAGCGAAAAATATTTTCTAGTGGATGCGTGCTATTATTATATAGCATGATATTATATTTAGTGATTTTTTACAGTAAACATTCAATACATAATTATCTCACAAATGATTAACTAAAATATTTTATATTTTTAATAAATGTAAAATGAGACATCGGAAAAAAATGGTATGCCAAGTCAAAATAATTTCCATACAGGCAAAACGATGGTGTCCTCGCTGCAGGTAGGTAACAGCTAAAACATATATTTTGTCTCAATAAAATTAAAATTAATTAAAACAACCTAGATTCAGGAAATATTACAAAACGCAATGTTATTTTATCAAAGGTTTTAACATTGCTTTAATATTTATTTTTCACATAATTTGAATTCAATACAAAACAAAATGTTACTTTTTTCAACGTAGGTAATTATTTTTAAGTTATTTTAATTTTTTGAATGACAACCTACATTTTTTCTTTAATATTAGGATATTTTTGGTAGAATTTTGTTGCAATATTAAAATTGAATTTAAAATGGGTAGATAACTTATATTGATTTTACAATGATGTGTGTTTTTTTTGTCAGTCATCGACTTTTTGGTGCAGTAAAAATGCTTAGATTTTCAATTTCAATACCTATCTTTTCTGTGGGAAAGTGAACTTAGTTGGTACCTAGGGAGGGTTAAAAGTTAAAGTACTTATTAAAATGGTAGATAAAAAGTGGAATTCTCAAGTATCTATAAACAGTTTTTGACAAAACTGATTTTTCTATTTCCTCAAATTTCGTCAAATCACGAACATTTTCTAATTATTTATTGTAGATAAAAATGCATAACATTTTCAATATTTATACTTATGATTTTTAAATTTAATACAAGGTTCTTCGTGAGTTGTTCTTAGTGGAATTAAAAAAAAAATTAAGCGTCATTCCAAAAATATTTTTATGGGCTTCTGAAGTTTAAATTTTGAGAAATATGATATTATTCAAGAGTAAAATGACGATTTATCATAATATGATTTTCTTATTTCAATGTAATTCAAAAACGAATAATCGTAGATACTTACAATTTTTCACCAAATGCTTAAATTGAAATTTTTTATACGTGGTGCAATTGCTTCAACTCTTTTTGAGCTATTTATAGAGGATTTCTTTTTTTTTAGTTTTTTCTTTAAATATTGATAAACAATTTTCAGTTTGTCAAAAAGTTTTAAAATTAAAAACATGGTTCCTTATTCAAAAGTAGTTATTGTACATTTGTACCTATTTAAAAATATAAAATAATACACGTATGCACGAATTTTCATAAACACTTGAATTCAAATTTTGACATAATCCTTCCCCTACGCCATTAGACATATATATAACAATTTAAACCATAATATTTCAAGTCTCTTGTTCCAGTGGTTTAGTATTTTAGACATAATCCATTACATTACATGTATCTAGTATATTATAGATTATTATAAATAAATATTAATAGTTTAATAAATTCAAATTAAAATAAACCGTATTACTTTTTTAAAACTTTTTAAAATTGTGAATCTATTTATTGTACAGTATGTGTACTATACATTGTATAGTATTATTTTTACAATAAGCACAGGTAATGTTATGGGTTTATAAAAAATTAAAAAAAAACTGAATTAAATTAAAGTATTACATACCTATTATATATTAGTAATAACTAATAAGTAATATATAATTACTTTTAGGGTGGCTGGGCAGACAGCATCCAGGTACAGCAGCTATATTATGTGAAAAAGAGATTGCGGATCACCTTTTTCCCCCTAGGCCAATCATTGATTAGCAATGTGTGCCGTTAGCCGGTCAGATAGTTCCCGTCTACGCACTCGCTATCGTTGATGATAATAACGTAAATCCTGACAATGAGTGCCCCCAAATCTTCACCGAGGAGATTAGGATAGCATTTTCCCGACTGTTTCCGGGTGATCTTCTAGCTTTGGAAATCAAAGGAGTTCTAAGTAAAATGGACCACCCAGATAGATTAGGACGAAGAATGAGAACCGGAAAGAGGAGCGCAATATGCTGCTCTCCGACTGGTCCAGTAGGTGGAGGCACGGTAAGAAGGCAGCTTGGAAGATCCTCCCGGAGTCCCGGACTTGATAAGATGAGTGAGAATATGCCCCAAAGACCTCACGTTCCACGTAACTCAGGCTCTTACGGGACATGGATGCTTCAGGTACTATTTGAACAGGAGGAAGCTCGTTTCCCCTACTGTCAGCAACCGATGGATAAAGCCAAACACACAATTTTCGACTGTTCTCACTGGGAATCAATGCGGCTGGCAGTGAACGGGTTCATAGACAACTGAAAAGTCACTACAAGTGACGTACAGGATCTGCTGTGTGGTCCTACTGACGTCCCGATCTACATTAACAGGCTGCCTCTCAGCACGCCACTCAGGCCTTCTATGAAATGGTTGAAGGCATACATACCTACAAAGAACAGGATGCGAGGCTAGCTGAGATTGAAGCAAGAGCCGCTCAAAACCAGCAGAACGAGATTCCAAACTGCGACACCAGGCCGAGAATAGGAGCAAATAACGAGACTAGGCATTACTAGGTGACAAAGCTCAGTCGACCATTTCCTGGTTAATTATTCGTGATCTGTATATATGGATGTGACTTATTGTGAGTGATAAATGTTATTCGTCAATAAACGATATGGCAGCAGAGGAGTAGTATTGTGCAAATAGACCCTCCTCTGCTGTCGGTCCTAAACGGACAAATATATATATATATATTTACTAGTTTAAATTAGTGTTATAGTGTGTTAACATTTTTCAGAATACTCGGAGGATAATAAAATTTTAAATGCTCAGGAAAATATTCTGTTTGAGATATTAAATTATATGAAATAATATTTAAAAATATAAATATTATAATTCTTATAATCTGTTGTCGTTCAAAAATTAAAAATCTCTGCTCAACAATAACAATTAGATTAAAAAAAATTGTTTTTTATTTAATGTCTAATAATGAATTCAAATTATGTAAAATAATTAAAAAAAACCATGTATGCGGATGTCACTCTGCTATACAGTAAGTTACAAGTAGGTCAATGTATAATAGATTGCATTTAACTTAAGTTCAACGATATAATATCATTGTATTAGAAAAACGATTATACAGTTTACTATAAATATATTTATGTTCATGATACTCGTTGTTATTGTTATACTTTATTTAAAGATGTTATTTTGCATATTGTTATACAAAATTAATTGATAGTGTTTTAATATTATCGAAGCAGTAATTTTTTGGATTTTTATTGTTATTCAAATTTTGTAATATTGTAATTCATGCTTTATTTTTTTTTTTTTTTTGGGTGGATCAATTGTAGGAAGTCACCGAATATTCATTTGATCAAGTTAAACTTAGTCTACTCTTAACCCTAAGCATATTTTTCGGTAAACAAACTGCAAACTGCTGGATGAGACAAATTAATTAATTTAGGGAATCGATGATCATTCAGTTTGGTTGTGAGTTACTTGTATGTAACTTAATTTGTGGGAATACACAACGGATTTTCTTAGGTGTGTTCCTATAACCTGCAGAATTGGAACGTTATTAAGTCTTGTTACCCACCAAATTCTCAACGTCATTAATTGATAATTTCACTTTCTTCAATATTTTTTGAGGCTTTGCGTCCTATAATGACTGAACTGCTGATCTCGCTATAGACTTTTTAACACATTTTTAGCATTTCTACAATATTGGCCCTAAAATTGTTGAGAACATTATCTATTATCTATCGAACACTCAAAAGCTTCGTCTACACCTAGAAAACATATCTTTGGCTTATGGTATATGTGACTTAAGTCAAAAATTGACTTTTTTAGTTTATATTGTTATAATCGAAAATGTTTGTATTTTTATATTTTGTTGGTCTAAACATTTCAGGTCACATTATATTGGGTTCAAAATACGTATGTCTAGTTAAGAATCTGACAAAAATAATTTAAAAATGGTCTTAATATCTTAAGTCAAGTTTAATAATAATTTTAAATGCATGCCCTAATGACGTAAGTCATATAACATAAAAATCCAAGTATCTTAAGTCACTTAAAAATAATGAAGAATTGATTTTAATGTTACACTTACACTTAATAGTTAACATAAAATTTGGTACATTGAATATTAAATTTAATTAATTATCAGTCCAGATACTATTGTCTACGATTTTGAATGATTTTTCAATGTTTTGTTTAATCTTAATGAAAACTAGTCGTTTTTGACTTAACACCTTTATACTATACTCCAAAGATATTTTAGTAAACTTTTTTCAAATGTTCGACTTGTTTCCAAACAAATTTGTTAAAGCAGGTCTAATAAAACTTTGTTTTCCGAACAAAAAGTTTACGTAACGATGTAGGTAGGCATAATCTAATAATGTTAAAAATTAGTTGGAATTAATTTTAAGCGATATTATTACCAATAAATATCAATACGTGCGACAGTCTATACTCTATACTAACACTATAAACAAATATCGGATAATGTATTATATATACGGATAATTTATAATGGACAATATATTTTAGACAATATGCAATGTCGTCGCCAACACGCCTAACAGTTAATGTATAACTGAAATTATTTAAGATACATTTAACAAAATATTTTATTCATAAAGATTTAATGTATTAAAAAATATATAATCACCAAATTAAAGTTAGATAAATAATACTTCATGTTTATAGATAGGTATGTAGATTAGAGATTGTACTTAGGAAATTCACATATTCTGTATAATATTTTAGATTCTGAGTCTAACCAAAGAATGTACTGATTTTACAATGATGTGTGTGTATCTGTCAGTAACATTTTGTATATTAAAAATGCTCTGATTTTCAAGATCAGCATCTTTTCAGATAGAAAAGTTTTCTATAAGTTGGTATTTTTGGCCGCAGGCCTTGAAACCGGTTTCAAAACCGATTTCAGAAATCGGTATGAACCGTTAAAAAACCAAAACTGAAAAAAATAAAAACAATTATAATCTAAAACCAAAATCTAAAAAAATTGGAAACCGGTATATAACTCAAAACCGAAACTAGAAACAATTCGAAACTGGATAAAATTAGATACTGGTATTATAATTTAAATCAAAAACCTTAAATATAATTTAAAAAACAGATTTTTTTTTGAAAATCTTTGGTATCTTAAACATTTTGGAATGGTTACTTTATACAATCCCCTTGATTCAAAATAAATTAATAAACTAAGAATAAACGTTAATAATCCAGCCCTTGAAACCGATTTTAGAAACCTGTATAAACAGTAACTGAAACCGAAAATAAAATAAAAAATGAAACCGGAAAAAGTTGTATACCGGTATTAAATCCAAAACCGAAAGCGTCAAGAAAAACGAGAAAAAATGAAAAAAATTGGTAATTTTTATGCAAAACCAATTTTTGAAAAATTATATTTTATTTTTTTTTTGTAACTAAAAAACTAACAACCGTAGACTTTTGAAATATTCAACAAATATTTATATGAACATTTTCAAAAAATGGTAACAATGTCGATTCTTTTTGTACTACTTATAGTCTTGAGACATTTATAGAAATTTTTAAATTCTTTTAAATAGTTCTCTATAAAAAACTTTTTCATTTAGTAAAAAAATTTTAAATTTAATTTAAGGTTCCTTATAAGTTTTGCTAATGTTAGTTCAAAAATATTAAAGCTACATAGGCACGTTTATTTTTTATATTGATTTTAAGTTCAAATTTTGACGAAATTCATCAACATTTCGAAAATGATCAAACTATTTTCAGTTAGAAATTCATAAAAAGTTTTCAGTTCATAACTAACATTAGAATCATTAATAGAAGAATCCCCACAAATGTTTATATCTTAAATAAACAAAAGTTTAAAGGAAAATTCTTGATTTATCCACCAAATATTTAAATTAGCTTTTTCAATTCATTTTGACTATTTATAGCCATTAGAAAATATTTCAAATTTTGTAAGACTATTTTTCAGTTAGAAATTCATAAATGCTTTTATTTTCATAGTTAACATGAGAAATATTGATAGAAGGTTCCCAACAATTCTTACCACCTCCAGCAAAAAGAAATAGTTGACTAGAATTTTACTCTATTTATAGCCATGATATATTTTATTATATTTTTTTTTAACTATTAAATATGTTTATTTAATATTTATACAAGTATGCTAGGCTGACACTACGTCTCCGCTCAGAATCGTTTTCGTATACAATGATTTATCGTAATAACACATCCATTACAACGAAATGCTTGACGACTACTGTATTGCAGAGTGGTACCAACGGAGGTACCAACTTGCCCACCTTTTTTCAAACCTAATTTTGCAGTAGTAGTTGTGATAACTATTTTATTTTTATTTTTATTTATTTTTCAAGAAGTTGGGCCCACTGTACTTGTTTACTACGAGCAACTAATAATTTATAATTTTTTAAAAAAACATTTAGATTTAAAAAAGTAGGTAACGAATTTTTAAATGTCAATACTTTTTGAATTTATAATGTTTTTTACCACTGGATCAACCTTACTTAACAAAAATAATGATATTACAAACAATTTTAAAAATAAACTGCATAATTTTTTTTACAATCAACATTTTTCCAAAACTAGATTTAAAAATTGACAATTTCGAATTTTTCAAAAAGTTTTTCATTATATTTAAAATATTTAATTTTTAGTATTGAAATATTAAAATTAAAAATGTTATACGCGTACAGCGTAATAGTGTCTGTAAATGATAAAAATAAAATTTTTATTAATTAAAAAAAAAAAAATTTAATTTGGCAGTTATTTTTTTTACACTCTGTATAGAAAAATACTGCGCCGTTATAATAATACTAATACAGACATGCATATATTATTCTTATAAATCGCCATAAATCAGTGAGAATATATAGTATTATAATATCATCATGAGCTCGTCGATGCGGTCCGACCATCATTGACGAGACCATAATATATTATTTTAAAAAGTGCTCGTACCGGAGTTTAGAGGGCCCTGATGCAGCAGAGACGGTTTCAAGCAGCTGATTTCTTTCTCCTCCTAAAGCGATGATTTATCATTATATTATTATATTATATATTTGAAAAACGATTAGGTTTACGTGGATGGTGGTCAACATTTTGTCTGAAAACAAGTGATCACTTACAATATTATTAATCCTTTTTTTGTTTTGTCGGCAACAGCTTTGTTCGATATCCTGCAGCAGCACGTTCAACTGCTGGGAAATTCGGAAAACGACCTCGAGTACCACCCGCGCGTTCAATTTCCAATCTGGAGGGTCGCTGAACGAGGCTTTTTGAGA